TCTTGTTTAGTAAATCAGTCTCAAAACAAGATCAAAAAGACTTTTTGGCTGGATACAAGGTTTTAAAACTTGGTTGGGTGGACATTTTTTGCGGTGCAGATATTGATCCAATCGTAGATGTAGTAGTTAGGGATCATCCTCAACACATACTCCGAGTGCTGCTCTTTTTGTAATATCTTCGCGTAAACCTTTGGCATCCATCCTTTCATTTTCTTTATCTACTTTTCTTTTCAAGTTGCTGGGTTCACTGCCCATGTCCAGACGTCACTACCACTACAACTTTAGGACCACTTATGTTATGTCTGCATCCCCAAAAATGCCAAATTAGCCCTGACTTGATGGGGCTTCCATCAGACACAGAGACATTTCTAACGCTTCACTCCAGTTGGTTTTCATTTGTGGTCATTGGTTTTCAAACATGTTCCTCCACAACACTACACATTTGAATTGGGTTTTAGAGAGGTTGGTTTTAAAGACAACACTTTTGTTTTTTGTTGTGTACTTTAACTGTTTTCTGCTCACTTGTTACATGATCAAATGAATCATCATACTAGGAAAGAATAYCTTCATCAAGGTCTGCATTTTCTTTTTATTTTTCCTTGTCATCACAACAAAATGTTCACCTGTTCATTTTGTTTTAAACCTCGTTTGCTTTAGGATAAACCCCTTGTCAGCAAGAAACTTTGCATGAATGTTATGAACTATACTTTAAATGTAATTCAAGGWCAGCCACCACCAGAGGTCACCATTCACTACAGAATAAAAGTGCAAATTTATCCCAAATGCAGACCACCGTCATAATGCTTCACAAAGATGGAATGTTATAATCTCAGTACAGAAAGAGTGGAGTCAGTTTCAAAGCCAGTTTAGTTTTCACACCTGAAAAACACATGGCACATGCTGCTAACTGATGAGTTTTAGTTAAGGGTATGCAAGAACTGACATTAAACTTTAGAGACAGATTAAAATTCCCTGCGGAAAAAGTCCCCAGTCAGCCTCAATGCATTACATTAGAACATTTAATTTGAAGGACAATGTCACTGATAGCCTATAATTGCTGAAGAAAAAACCCAATCATGCTTCAAACAGTTCTTTTTAAATAGGAACAAAACTACTCTCTCCATTGAATAAATGGCTTGTTGAAATTCAGAGCACAAAGCTTCAAATGGCAAAATCAGCACTAATATTACAGCCAAACACAGTCACATTTTATGCTTTGGAACCCGTTTACTGGATCATAAAGGTAGCAGTCTGGATTGGCAATAAGTCTCTACCTCAAACAGGCGTTCAGATATGAGAGTCTTGTACACGTGATAGGCCTTGTCTGCAGTAATGTGGGTGTTCCTACAGTCTCTTGTAAAGAAAGAGCTTAAACTTTTAGCACAGCTCTTGATTGTTTTGGTCCTTCTGCATTCTATCTCTCATGTATTGTCACGAGGTTGAATGTATCAGGGCTGAAAGAACAAAATCCCAGACACAAGCGGTTGAAATTGGTTTCTTCTGACGGGTGGCCAGACTCAACCTTAGAGAGATAAGGTGGGSAGCTCCATCATCCTGAGGGAGTTTTGAGTAGAAGTACTGTTCCTTCACGTTGAAAGGAGTTGGTTCGGGGTGGCATCTGATTAAGCAACCCATTCTCACTCCCGAGTCGTCACATATTGACGTTTTTCAAAGGTCCCTTTGCGTCCAATTTTGACGCATCAGGTACCCCCCTTGCGTTATATTTTGACGGGATGGGGCGGAATCTGTTGTCGTAATTTCTGAAAGTGTAGAAAATGCACAAATACTACCGTTCCAAAGCGTGAAATTACGTKTATTCACTTTAGACATCCTGTCCCAGACCCTAGTACCTAAAATTAACCATTAACCCTGATACGTAAAATTAACCATTTTTAGAAAATGTAGGAAATTCATGGCAACTACGTGTTGCAAAGCCTAAAATTACCTAAAGTTCACTGTAGACATCCTATCCCTGACCCCAGTCCCTAAACTTAACCATTTATCCTGATCCCTAATGTTAACCTCAGACCCCCGACCCAAAGACCCCTGGTGGCGCAACCCGGAAAAGCCGCGGGCGGCAAGGACTGACGCGAGGGGGTACCTGATGCGTCAAAATTGGACGCAAAGGGACCTTTGAAAAACGTCAATATGTGACGACTTGGGAGTGAGAATGTGTTGGATTAAGATGTCTCCTGGGTGCCTTGCTTTGGAGGTTTTCCTGGCACATCCCACTGGGACGAGACCCTCAGGTGGACCCAAAACTCTCTGATATGTGTTTTCTATTGCCTAAAAACACATTGGGATCCCTCAGGAGGAAATGGAGAGTGTTGGTAAAGGGAGGTATGTCTGGGTTTTCTTCCTAAACCTGTTGCGTCTACGACCCAACTAAGATGATATGTTGAGTCTGTGCTGACCTTTTCTCTCCTCTGCTGGTTTGGAAATCTTAACGTTAAGTCAAAAATGCACTCAGCAGAGTTGTACACACAAGTAAAAAGATCATAGGAGTTGAACAATGCTCACTTACAGAACCGTTTAATAGACAGATCACCAAGAAAACTAGTACTATTCTTGCTGACAGTTCTCATCCTTTACACCCTGAGCTCCAGTTTCTGCCTTTTGGCCACCGGCTCAGACTTCTCTGTATGAAAAGTAACAGGTACTCATTCATTCCTTCATCCCTATAGCTATTTCTCTTTTCAATGCAGAACAAAGTAGGGGGATTTGCATCTGAATGTTGGGGCTCCTTGGTACCAATGATACCAATGTTAACTGTTCACTGATTTTTATTTGTTGTGTTTTTGGCGCACTGTATTGTATCTTATTTGTTATAAACTTTTAAATTTTTGTATACATGTTTTTTAACTTTTGAACTTTTTTTATTATGTCTTTGTATGTATAAGTACCATGCACTTGCTGTAACACTAATAGCCCTTTTGGGACCCGAACAAATCTGCACCTGAACCTGAACCTGAAGATGTATTTGGACTTAGAGAAAAAAACTTTGAAACAGAAAATATAAAATTATAATAATAAATAAATTGCCAATATGCAAACTACTGTAAGTGTTTAACATAAAAGCACAACAAACCTTTCCCTCAGAATATTGTTTATTGTTCCTTTTACATCAGTTAGTCCTTGGACAAACTGCCTCCAATCAATTCAAAGTTTTTGGATACATTTATGACCAAAGAACACATTTCACACTGCTACAGACTGACAGAACTGCCATATCGAATGTTAAGATATCTATTAACTGTCATGCTGAGTGTTTCTTTTTTTTTAAATCAGTAGTAATGACTTACTGATGCTGTTACTGCTGCTAGTGTGGCTTCTGGCATAATAATGGAGTTTATAGGTCCCGGTGAGTAAACGGCATTCCATAGTATCTTTTGCCTATGGTAAAAATTTGCACTGTAATTTGCAGTTAAATGAAACTGAACCTTATATTGTCGGGCCCAGCTTAAATAGAAATAAGGTGTAACATGGCAATCCTTGTAGAAAACAATTATAGCATTGATACGTTAACCAATTTCCATAGCACAATTGTACCTATACTTATTAGTTGTGCAGTTATTGAAGAGAGTTAACAGCTATCATCAAATAGATCTTTAGATATTTACAGTGGTGTTATATCCTTTTGTTTATGAGGTTTAGCATTTTCAACCTGCACCTAACAGTTTTTCATGATAACACTGAATATAAAAAAAGACCTCCGCAGAGTGAAACATCTGTACATGAATGTATGGTATTTTCTTTGTTTGTTTTATTTTGTACATAGCTGTAATGGTTAGCTTCATTTTCACATTGTCTCACTCTGTCTCTCACCATATGTTATGGCAACTCAATTGTAGCTTTGCTTTGGCAGTCAGTTCCAGTGGTCTAAATTGAAGACCGTCTTCCTACTATGTTCGAACAATTGACCCGAACAAGATGGGGCATCCCGAAACTCGCATTCACTGCCCTGCCCTTAGACGGGCCGTCGTATGCAGCATAGTTCCTTGTAAATAGTCTTTTACAGTCTGTTGTTAGTGCTTTTGCTACTAACAAATGTTGTGCTAGTTTGTAGAATCCCTTTTGTCTGTTTGGTCTGTTGAAGGCCATTTCACAGTAAAGTTCCAAGCAGCAGTCCTGTTCAAGGGTGGGGTGAGAAAAGCCAGTGGCTCTGAAGGTCCGATCACTCCAGACAGATGTTGGACCAGTAGTTCCCAATACTCCCCACTGCTTAAACACTCACACAGGCTTTTCCATCTCCTTTTACTTTGTGCCATATTTGATTATTTAAGCGGAAACTCAAGCAAGTAACTTTCTGTATCCCTAATTATAGGAATCTCTTACTAGACCTGACTAATTTTAGGACATGCAGCTAATAAGGCTATCTCAGCTATAAAATTGACTATTTGAAGTTTAAAATTCTTGCAGCGTTGTTTGACAAAGTATACTTTAATGAAAGCTAGAAAGACAATGTCCATGATTGATGCTTGTAATATGACACTTGTCAGCCATGTGATACATACATTTAAGCTGGAGCATCTGAGTTAGCTGTATTAGCTACACTTGTAAGCCTCTTGGTTTTTAAGGGCTGGATTGGACAAAAACCTGTAGATGTTGTTTTCCCTTCAGGACCCCGGGACAGCCGCTGATCTTGGACATCAGGCAATGAGCTGATTCTGGGAGAAATTTGGACATCCAAAGGAGATGCAGGTCAATGAGGAAAGAAGAAAAAGTATCCAGCCACACTTTGCTTTTTTTTCTTGAAGTAGGTAAGACTTATCATGAAATGTCACATGAACAGGCAAATGTGTCATTTTGTTGAACAAATTAGGTGGAGGATACTTTTTTCAATCTTGTAGTCATTTGCCCTCCGTGGAGCCTTGATTCTTTCTCTTTTCGCATCTTTCCTCAGTCATCCTCAGGCTTCAAGTTCTCCTTCACAGGCTGTTTTTGTCTGGTAACTCTGCCTCTGGACTACGGGGAAAGTAGACGGTGGCTTTGTGCTCCTCGTAGCGATCAATGTGCTTGAGATGTACCACCATGTGCAGAGCGTAGGCTAAGACGAGGAGCAGGATTAAAGATGTCACCAGGCCCATCAGGATAGCTGGCGTCAAGAAAGTAGCACAGTCACTGGCCGACGCAAACTTCTCTGACTGCACATTGAAGGCCTGGATCTGGAAGAGCAAAAGGCGGGCGGAAAGATGAGATTAGGATGAGGTAAATAGGACAACTGGCTCTTACTTGGCTTACCAAGCACAGAGACACTGGACAGATGGACAGGTTGAGACATCCTAGCAGATGGCTAAATAGACAGCATAAAAACAAATCGGCAGACTGCCAAACAGACGGCAAACTGACTGACTGACCGTCAGCCAAACACATGAAGCACAAAAGGAAATAACTGGCAGATAAACAAGTGCATGCACACATTTAGGAAAACGAGGGTAACGACACGGCAACAGTGAGCATGCAGACATTGTAACGGGAGTCGTACAATAAAAGCTGTGCCCCTTGTGTGGCAGTGTACCTGGAAATCTGTGAAAGTTATGTGCCAGTTAGCGGATGTGTCAGTGTGGGAGCTGGGCACTAGCAGGGTGTCATATTTGTGCAGACTGCTGACGTGCTGGCAATGGTAGGATGAGGTGGCAGGAGCGTAGACCTCACTGGCGTTGAACGTAGCCTCCTGGGTCCAGTTGTACTGGATGTGAACGCTGTCCAACGTGAACCAGTTTTGGCCTGCTGCTTCATAAAAAGTATTGGACATCTGAAGCCTGGTGGAGGAGACAGTGCCGTTAGTTAGCCTGTATAGGTGCACTTTCAAGCCATGTGTTGTGGCTTGGTAGAGCGTGAATTTGTGAGTAGATTTCCATTTTTTGAAGATGTTTGTCAGCAAAAGTATTTGATTTAATTTACCTGATTACAAGACTTCGCAAGTCCTCCACATCACCAAACCTTAAGGAAAGCCTTTGACAAAAGAAAACCAACATAATAAATTTAATAAAGACTCTACACTGAAAAAAATTATTTTTGGGTGTAGTAACATTTATTTAATTATTTTTTAAATTTTACAAAAAAAATATCAAACTCTCTAAACTACTAGAATTTACTAAATAAACAACACATATTATATTATATATCAATATTACTGTACAAAAAAGTAAAGGCTAATATTATTTTACCAGTAATATTTAAGTGTTTTTTTTCTGGACAGCACATAAACATGAATTTATTAAGTAACTTCTTCTCTTCTGGGCTAAAACTGAGGGCGCATGCGCACACAAAGGCTGCTGCTCCTCATTCCCTTGCTTCACTTTTCAAGGAGAGGACAAGACATGGTCGAAATAAAACATAAGTTGTCTGGTTTCTTTTGCTTGAATAAATTTGTTGGTGTGCAATAGTTTGATGGCATAATGTAGGTGATATTTAGTTKTCAGGGAACAGGGAATGCATATTGTAGCATTCTGCTGTGTTTGGCTGTTTGTCATGACTGCAGTGGAGGATTGTGGGTAGGATTCATGTTTGTTGTTGTTAAATCATTTTAGGGAATTGGTTAACATTGTTCTTTCAGCAATTAGTCTGTTGTGTTACTCTAATTTTTGTGTTCATTATTTGTTAACTTGTGTTAAAATGTTCAGCAGAAGTAACAATAAGTGAGAGTGGTAGGTCTAGTCATTAATAAGACCTGTGAGTTTCACATTGTCTGTGTTGTTCATGAAGAAGAATCCAATAAAGATTCTTCAAAACCGCCACCTGTAGTGAAGTCTTGAACTACAACATGAGCTACACCTCTCTCTGTAGCTGTGAGGTGTCATGCTACAATATTGTGCTTGACGTATGTGCAATGTTATAAAGAACTTGTAAGAATTACTTGAAAAAAATCCTCTTAACAATTTGCACTAACGTTTGTGAAGTAAATTTAAATGCTACAAATTCATGTAATATTAACTCATCATTATCTAGTAAAAGTTATTAAGAATATAGTTTAAGATTTGTGAACAAATCAGGTAAATTTTACTTAATTTGATCAAGTATACTGTATGTTACAAGATTTAACTGAGCAAATTAAGTTAAATTTACCTGATTTATTCACACATCTTAAACTATATTCATGTAATATTTGCTCATCATTATCTAGTAAAAGTTTTTAAGAATATAGTTAAAGATTTGTGAAAAAATCAGGTAAATTTTACTTAATTTGATCAAATATATGTTACAAGATTTAACTGAGCAAATTAAGTTAAATTTACCTGATTTAATCACAAATCTTTAACTATATTCTTAATAACTTTTACTAGATAATGATGAGTAAACATTACTTGAAATTGTAGCATTTAAATTTACTTAACAAACATTAGCGCAAATTGTTTACAGGATTTTCTCAAGTAAATCTTACAAGTTATTTTTTTACAGTGCACAATCCCCCAGACAAAYGTTACACCCCTCCACTATATGAAATCAATTCATTCAGAATTTTGTGGCGTGTTTGTTCTTGAGGGGAAAATGCTTAGATAATGGTGACATKTTGCTTCAACTATTTACCTTCTAAATGCTGACTGTTGTGCGTTCAACATGGATWAATTTGAGGAGCAGTTATGAAAGTATCTGACTCTTCCAGACACTTATAAAGGTAGACAAATGGCTAAAACCTCATGGTGAGAGCAGATATTGTGTTTGGACAAGTCTGTCAAAGTGTGGGGCTTTAACCGTGACAGATATGTGGCCAAACGGCAGGTATCAGAGTATTGTCTCCAGCAGGAAGAAACCCATGCTGTGACATGTACAGCAGAGGGAGGGGTTTCCTGCTGGAGCTCAGCGCCATGTGTTTCCTGGACATTGAAAGGTGTGTGTGAAAACCAGTGGTGGGCACAGTTCCCCTAAAGCACTGAAGCACTAATAAGGGAACTAATTTCCTGATTAGTGCTTTAGGGCTAATTTTAAAATTTATTAGTGGWTTAGCATTTGCTAAATTTATAGGCTAAATTTAGAAGCACTACCTGAGGTCTGTAAATGTTATTGATCAACGTTTATGTTAACAACTGATGATGAAAGCTGTCACACATTTTCTTTGTGTCACTTATCCACTAGAGGTGACAATACTGTATATTGACAATATGTGAACTGAAATAAGGCTGTGAAATGTCAGTGATAAGTCTTAAGAGAGCAACAGATAGGATGTGACTTATCCTATCTGTTGGAGAATGTTCATTGGGTTGACTGGGTTATTTTAGTGCCTTAGAATTAGCTTTTGCMAAAATTWTTAGTGCGTTAGTGCTTTAGAATTTAGGGGACCTAAATATCTGAGTTAGTATTTTAGGGCTAGTGGAACTAGTTTTTAGATTAGTGCTGCGGCCACACTTAGGCTGTCTTGTCTTCGAATGGAGAATGCTGAGCCCTTTACACCAACTGCTTTTCATTGTAGAAAGACAACTAACATCAGCTGAACTCATATTAGAAATCTATTGACACTTTAAATTTAAAAATGTTTACTCAACCTTTTCCAATTGAGAAAAACTGCGGCTGCGATCAACAGTAGAATTGCGACTGGAAAAGCCACTGGAGCAACTTTCAGAAAATGGTACATTGACGTTCCTAGTGAAAAAAAAATTTTTCATTAGGAGAAACATTCAGTTGTGTGCTTTTAAAACACTTCCAAAGTACACAGAGATCAAATGAATGATGTGCTCTAACCTTTGACCAGTAGAGTGCTGGTATTGTTTTGTTGAATTTCACGCCAGAAGATGGCTTTACAGGTCAGGCTTTTGACTCCGTCTCCTTCAGGAACCATGAATGTGATTAGGGACGTCCTCTGCCAGACACCTCGTGATATCAGAGCGTCCGACACGTCGTTGGTGATATTGGGAACACTCCATGAAAACTCTGGAGGATGTGACGGACACGTGTGRCTGACAGAACAAGAGACAGAAACGGTCGAACCAGCATTTACTTCAGCAGGAACTGTGCTCATCACCGGTTTGTCTGGAGAAGCTGAAGATGGAAAACACAAAGTAGTGTTAGTGTGGAGTGTTAAAGACAAACATTTGAATCATCTCATATAAGTATTGMCTTTAGACCTTTCATTTTAAGAAAAACGCAGTTGTTGGTGAATTTGTACTTTGCATCTCCTTTCTGAGCATGGAAACAGAAAGGGCCATTGTCAAAAGACTTGATTTTATCAATCTCCAGTGAGCATTCTCCTTCGTGTATATCCCCTATTAATTTGGTTCGATCCWTGAAATGGTCTGTTACATAACTGCGCCCATTGTGGTAGATAACATCATGCCCAGATTTTTTGTACCAGATCCCACGGGACATGTGTTCATGCTCATTGCTCTGAAAACTGCAGGGGATCACCACACAGGACCGGCTCAGAGCATTGAAGGTGTAAGGGACATCTGCTTTAATTTCTCGAACAGCTGTTAAGAGAGAAAAAAATGTCACATTGCACAAACTGGAGTGTTAAAAAAATTCTGTCTGTCTCTGTGAAATCAGTGTATTTGTTGTGTTTCTTGGAACAAAGTATGCATTTAAAGCAAACTGACAAAAGCACCCACCACCAGCGTCAAAAGGTTCATCTTCTCCAAATTTGTACTCGTACGCTGTAGGAAAAGAACAGTGAGTTTTAAAAYCTGTTYAAGCACWATGTATTTTTTTATGAAAACCTGTACTCTCACTCCCTAGTACAAACAATAGAAAGCCACAGCTCTCCTTAAATTATTTTACCCATGGTCGTAAATGGGTGGAATGGTGGAGAAAGTCCAGGATTTGGTTTGTATTATAGTTTTGAATTTTCAGTACAGGTAGAATACCCTTTTTTATTTTTTGTAACTCCAAAAATAACACATCAGTGAAAGAAAATCCATCATCTACACACCTTCTGAAACACTAGTTACTGTAAATCAGGGGTTCTTAGCCTTTTTGACCTCGGGGCCCAATTTGTTGAACATAAAGTGACACGAGGCCCAGTCAGACATTACCANCATTTAAATTTACTTAACAAATGTTAGTGCAAATCGTTTACAGGATTAAGTAAATCTTATGTTATTTTTTACAGTGTACACATAGTGTCTTCTGTGCATCGAAATAAGCATTTCTAATATAATTTTTGTTTTTTTTCTGGCAAGAAATGACTGAATTGTCAGTTTATTGAACTGTAAATTGCTTGAACTGTTTTGCACACCAAATTCATCCATTTAATCATATGGTTTATAAGGATTAAAGGACACATATCATGCTTTATCCTTCTTTTACCCATTTAAACCATTCCACTGGGGTCTATATAAAGTGGTAATGCAATGTTTTGGTCTGAATTCCTCATTGTAAATCCACAAGACTTGTTACTTTAAATGCAAACCGTGGGCTTGAGCACATCCAGCCCCCTTCCTGCTTCCAGACCAGTTCATTGTAGCTTGATAGAGGGGTTTATGACTATAAAGCAGCACAGAAACCTTTTATTTATATACAAATTATAAGATGTCAACAAAGGAAGACCTGTCCATCTGGCCTTACATATAGCCAGAGTCTGGCACAGAGAGGATGAGGAGTGAGAGGATAATGAAGACCTCTACCAGTAAATTGTATTTATTCGGTCCAGACCCTGTTTAGACGTTCCATTACAAATACTGCGACATAATAGTTCAGAAAATAGAGAAAATTGAACAGACTGCAGCACCAGGACAGACTAAATTCTAATTTGCTGCACTCCTAGAGACTCCAAGTACACAACAAAATGCATTTAATAATTATAATGGTGGCTATTACATGATATATCCCCTTTAAGAAATTCCTTCATCATAACTTTGTTGGGACTTACGTAGCTTTATCCTTGGTGCAGATGGAGCCCTTGGTGTCCACAGGTGAATTGGGACTGAAGACCTTCTCAGTCAGATCTATGAACGTGTGGTTCCTGTAGCGGATTGCAAGGCGCTTCGCCTTAAACAGAATGCAAGGCTTCCCATTGTAAGACACACTGAGTGGGCCATAGGGCCCCATCAGAGACTGGAGAAGTTTCCTTTTACTGAGAGCCATCCCGGTCTGATGCCATTTAAAAGGCTGCAAATATATAACAAAATGGTATTTGGTTAGAAAGAGGGAAGAAGTTGCAATAGTACAACAGTTTTGTGTTTGTTGTGTTGAAATAAAAGTTATCCCAAAATACTGTTGTGTTTTCCAAGGAGAATGAGTTCACAGTATGGTGATAAATGTTAATATTCTRAACTAAAGCATTCATTGACATATGGATATAAATACATTCCCCTTGTTTTATTCTACTTGTGTACCCAGCAATCTTGCTTAGTTGCACATCCCAGAGTGCCTCAATTATCTTCATGTTGTGATGTTTAATTTCAGAAACCGTTTTAAAAAACAACTTGAGCAGTCTTTTCAGCTCCCCAGCTTGTGTGGTCATAAAATGTCAGCAGTCAGTGTGTAAAGTTCAGTGTTCCAGCTACCCCTTGAATCTCAAATGAGGAAAGAGCAGTAGTTTTCCAATTCATTTACTCAAAGTTTGCATTCACTGAAGGGCTTTAAGTTATATTACATGTCAAGGAGTATTCTGAATTGCTGTTTCAATGTGTGTGTTTTTAATTTAGTTTATTTGTTTTTCAGCAGAAAATATTTGAAAAAMACTTAGATTTTATGGTAACATTATAGATACACAATACAGTAGTTAAAAATATTCAAACCAAAAGTGGAAAAACCTGTAAGCACCAGGTGATAAACCATTCTGCTGGATTTTATTCAATTTCCAGTCTCCATTTTCCTGTGTGTGGGTGGTACTGATGCTTTTATCTCTGGTGAATATGAGACCAACATTATTCCTTCATCCAAGGTCATGCAGTGTGGCTGAGTGAGCATGCTCAGTTTTTTTTTTTTTTTTTTTTTTTGCTTGTGTGTTTCCGAGCCTGTGCATTTGTATGTGCTGAAGACAGGGAGGGAAGGAACGTCGAGGCTGTGTACCTGCAGTATTCTCCTGAGTGGGTTTTCATCTTCAGGCGTCAAAAAGACCTCTTCGCTTTCCAAGCCGTACTCGCCATCTTGACCTGAAAATGCAAACACACCACCTCATCAGCACAGATGCATGGGAAGCAGACTGCATTAGTGTGTTGCAGATCGCAATAAGATGTCAGCCAAGTTCAGACGACTTCACAGAACAAAGAGAACTTGCGTGCACCTTACTACTCAGGCTCATATCTATTTCCAGGGGTTTGCGTCATCACACTGACTCATCAGCAGTTTTTTTTTCCTTTTTTTACTTCATAATAACAGTTTCAGTGTTTACAATTACAACTTATCTTGTTTCAGAAACATTTTTTCCTATCACATACTCTTATTTTTCCTTTTTTCTAACATAGCGCACAATATATAGGCAGGCAGCATGCCAATGAGGTGTTCGGGTTGCAATTGAGCCAGTTAAAAAGAAAAAAATTGATTAAATTACTATTTGGCAAAGATGTCTTCAGGTTTAAGAAGAAAAAGCCTTTGTCAGATCTAATACATCAGTTTCAAAATTACTGGAATCGGCCCTTGTGTCACAATAGATTTGTTACTTACTTGATGAGACTCTTGTGGCTTGATGGGGGTTCTCTTTGCTGTGGAGAAAAACAGAAAACAGAAAAAGGTATTACCATCTTAAGATGTAAGTAAACGTTGAACACTTTTTTTTCCTATAAAAGTCTGATTAGTGTTCATAAGAAGCCCAATTATAGACTGGAAAGTTTGATGTTTACAGTTTTCTTTCTCTCAACAAGAACAAAAAGAACATGATAGAATGAGTCTTTATCTGTTGCTCAACAAGAACAATAAAGGAAATGATAAGAACAAGAAAAAGCCAGTCAAACTCAAACACACGGTTTTATAAAAACTTTTACTCATTAAATCTTGTCCTGAGAATTAGCTTCCTGAAGCATTTGCCTGGTAAATTACCTGACAACCACAAGAGGAGGCCATGAGGACAGGGTTGAACAATTTTATGTTTTTACAAACTTCTAGATTATTGTTTCTTTCTCACGTTGTGGTGAATTGTTCAAAAATGACAAAAGTTACGTGTAACAATAACTTTATTCTGCCGCAGCAAATTGGCAGAAAAAGGACATTTAAACTCCTGTTTGAAATTATGTGAATTTCCCTGCTAAGAGACAACATTATGTGTTCAAATTCAGAAAACCACCAGAAAAAATATTCAAACTCTAAATTATTGATGTACAGTTCTGCTGTAGAGCCACATCTTTACTAATGTTATTTCATCATGGATTAGAAGAACAACTGTCCCCTATCTTTATTAAAAATAAAAAAGAAAATGGTGCTAGAAGTTTGTAAGTGAGCAATAATAAACAAGCTTGATGTCTTGTGATTCCTGGAGATTAAATACAACTTTTATGTACCTACACAGTCAAGATTTATAT